GAAGCACAAAGAGCTCACAATTCAATAAAAAGACAAACAACCCCGTTCAGAACTGGACAAAGGATTTGAACAGACATTTCTCCAAAGATAACCAATCAGCACATGAAAAATGCTCAAGATCATTATCATTAGGGAAAAGCAGATCAAAATTATGGGATGCCCGTTGTCACCCAATAGGACGACATGAGAGATAAAACAATGACAAGTGTCATGGAAGAAGGGCAGGGACTGGAACTCTGAACCAGCGCTGGCTGGCCTGTAAAATGGCCTAGCCATGGTGGAAACAGAATTAAACAGAATTACCACGTAACCCAGCAATTCTACTCCTAAGCACACAGTCGAGATGAAACACATGATGTTCACACAAACGCTTGTAAAGGACTGTTCCTAACAGCGTTATCTGTAAAAGGCAGCACCTGGAAGCAACCCATGGCTGGATAAACAAATGTGGTGTAAACACACAGCGGGACATCATTTGGTGATTAAAAATAAAGAATGAAGTACTGGTAGATGTGACAACACGGCTGGCCTTTGAAAACACTATGCTAATCACAGAAGCAAGACACAGCTCACGTAAACGAAATGTCCACAAGAGGCAAACCGACAGACCGAAAGCAGGCTGGGGCTGGCACAGCAAATGGGAACATGACTGCTAACTGGGTTTCACTAGCAGTTCTCATTCTCATTTTAATTTTATTTCATGCTTTCAAAAAGATGTATTTATGTATTTATTTGGAGAGTGGAGTGATGCAGGGGTTGGGGGGAAGGGAGAGAGAACTGATTGATTGATTTTCATCTGCTGCTTTATTGCCTTACTCTCAAATAGCCACAATGGCCTGGGCTGGACCAAGCTAAAGTCAGAAGCCAGGAGCTCCACCTGGGTCTCCCATGTGGGTGGCAGGGGCCCAGAACTTGTTCCATTGTCCACCTTTCCCAGGTGCATTAGCAGGGAGCTGGATTGGAAGTGGAACAACCAGGACTCAAACTGGCACTCATGTAGGATATCGGGGCATCATGGGTGGCGGCTTAACTTGCTGTGCCAAAATGCCAGCCCCTACAGTTTCTAATTTTAGATGTGATGGGCACACAAATGTGATTATTACACCAAACCTTTTTAATTGCTTATGAATGTCTCCATAAAGCTTTTTAAAAAGATTTATTTATGTATTTGAAAGGCAGAGTTACAGAGAGGCAGAGAGAGAAGGAGAGGTCTTCCATCGCTGTTTCAATGCCCAGATGGCCACAAAGCTGGAGCCATGTTGATCCGAAGCCAGGAGCTTCTTCCGGGTCTCCCATGAGGGTGTGGGGCCCAAGAACTTGGGCCATCTTCTACTGCTTTACCAGGCCATAGCAGAGAGCTGGATCGGAAGTGGAGCAGCCGGGACTCAAACCAGTACCCATATGGGATGCTGGCACTGCAGGCCCCTCCATAAAGCAGTTTTAAATATAGATGGGAGGGAGGGGCAGCGCTGTGGCTCACTTGGTTAATCCTCCACCTGCGGTGCCAGCATCCCATATGGGCTCCGGGTTCTAGTCCCGGTTGCTCCTCTTTCAGTCTAGCTCTCTGCTGTGGCCCGTGCTTGGGCCCCTGCACCTGCATGGGAGACCAGGAGGAAGCACCTGGCTCCTGGCTTGAGATCAGCATGGCGTAGCTCCAGCCATGGTGGCCATTTGTGGGGGTGAACCAACAGAAGGAAGACCTTTCTCTCTCTCACTGTCTAATTCTATCTGTCAAAAAAAAAAAAAAAAAAAAAAAAAAGATCAGGGGACCAGTACTGTGACGCAGCAGGTTAACGCCCTGGCCTGAAGCGCACATCACATATGGGTGCCGGTTCTACTCCTGGCTGCTCCTCTTCTGATCCAGTTCTCTGCTATGGCCTGGGAAAGCATTAGAAGATGGCTCAAGTTCTTGGGCCCCTGCACCCACGTGGGAGACCTGGAAGAAGCTCCTGGCTCCTGGCTTCGGATCGGCGCAACTCCGGCTGTTGTGGCAATCTGGGGAGTGAACCAGCGGATGGAAGACCTCTCTCTGTAACTCTGTCTTTCAAATAAATAAATAAATAAATCTTAAAAAAAAAAAAAAAAACAGATCGGGGGGCTGGCATTATGGCATAGTGGGTAAAACTTCTGCCTGTGACACCAGCATCCCATGTGATTTGGGTCCTGGCTGCTCCACTTCTGATCTGGTTCCAGCTAATACACCTGGGAGGGCAGCAGGTGATGGCCTAGAGGAAGCTCCTGGCTCCTGGCTCCGGACCAACCTAACTCTGGGATGGAGGAAATCTCTCTCAATCTCTCTCTGTAAAACTCTGTCTTTCAAATAAATAAATAAATGTTAAAAAAAAGGGGGGGGGGGGCCAGTGCTGTGGCATAGCACGTAAAGCCACTGCCTGTAGTTCCGGCATCCCGTATGGGTGCCAGTGCTTGGGCCCCTGCACTCGCGTGGGAGATACAGAGGAGCTTCCTGGCTTAGTATCAGCTCAGCTCCAACTGTTGTGGCCATCTGGGGAGTGAACCAGTAAATGGAAGATCTTTCTCTCTGTCCTTGCCTCTTTCTGTCTCTGGTTCTATCTCTCAAATAAATAAATAAAATCTTCAAAAAGACATTCTGTCTTCAACCTGTTGAACTTGTCTCTCTGGCTATTGCTGGCTTTAACCATCTTTCTTCCCACAGACCATCACTGCTGTCTTAGAGCCTATCATTTATTAAAAAAAAAAAAAGATTCATGATTGGATAACTAGGAAAATGTCATAATAGGAATAACAGCAATTTCTATTTATTGACTACCTATACAAACACATAAAACGCATACATGTAAACACGTATACAAATATACAAAATGCTTTGTACCGGGCATTGTACCTGACTCTGGGCAAAGACTACAGAGTCTACCTCATTTAATCCTTACAAGAACCCATTTCATGGGTATTTTTATTCCCCTTGTACAGATTAAGAAATAGACAAAGAGGCTAAGCTGCTTGCCTAAGGCCATGTAACTAGTGAGCCATGAAGCTGGGATCTAAATTGAAAGCATTTGTTCAGGCCCATTGAGTCTGAGAGGTGAGCTAGCAAGGCAGGTAAAAGTGAATGCCATTTTCACAAACAACCTAAACAATCTATCACAATGTACTCATATAACTCCATGACAGTCCCCAGCCTCGCTTAGGAAGGCTTTAGTAACCTTATATGTCACCTTGTGTGCTTATCAATATTTATTTTTTAATCCAACAGCAGCAGTTCTTCTAAAACAAACACACCATTCTCTGCTCGTTCCCTCCATGCTTCATGGAAGCTCTCTGGTCTTCTGAAAGCAGAAGACGAAGGGCAGCGTACTGAGGACCCCTGAAACAGACGATCTCCAGGATCCCTTCCAACTCCGATGAGCTGAATGGTAGCCTCTATTAACTGACTAATTAGTTTCAAGTTTCTTTATTTGAAAGGCAGAGATATGGGAGGGTAGGGGAGGACAGGTATCTTCCATCCACTGGTTCACGCCCCGGATGGCAGCAGCAGGCAGGGCTGTGCCAGGCTGAAACCAAGAGCTTCATCCGGGTCTCCCGTGTGGGAGCAGGGGCCCAGGCACTCGGGCCATCTTTCCACTACTTTCTCAGGCATCTGAGCGGGGAACTGGATTGGAAATGGAGCAGTCAGGACTCAAACCAGCACTCACATGGGATGCCAGCACTGCCTGCGGCAGCCTGACCCGCTGTGCCAGAATGTGGGCCCCACTACTTGTTTTTTAATGAGGAGCTGCATGTTGAGTTTCATACACCATTTAATCATGGATTAAACATCCTGAAAACACAGATGACAACAATGTACCCGAGAAGCAACTCATTAACTGCTGGTCCCGAAGCCTTCTAGAGAATTCTTCAATCAGCAGATGTGGTAATCCGCATGTTTACTGTAGATAACACACTTAGACACAGAAAATGTCCCAGCACGAACAGACAAAAGTACCAATACCCCTGCCTACCAACATTCTTTACCTGAGCCAGATGCTTTTACAGTGCACAAAGCACATCACGTGGGGCCAGCACTGTGGCAGAGTGGCTAAAGCTACCGCCTGCATGCAGGCATCCCACAGGGGTGCTGGGTCAAGTTCTGGCTGCTCCTCTTCCAATCCAGCTCCCGATATGTGTGGGAAGGCAGCAGAACATGACCCAAATGCTTAAGCCCCTGCACCCATGTGAGAGACCTGGATGAAGCTCCTAGCTTTGGTCTGGCTGAGCCCTGGCCACTGTGGCCATTTGGAGAATGAAACAGTGGATGGAAGACCTCTCTCCCTCCCTCTCTCTCTCTCTCTCTCTCTGTAACTCTGCCTTTCACATAAACACCGTAGCAGGTAAAAGCCTCCACCTGCAGTGCCGGCATCCCATATGGGTGCTGGTTCAAGTCTCAGCTGCTCCATTTCTGATTCAGTTCTCTGCTGGGGCCTGGGAAAGCAGTAGAAGATGGTCCAAGTTCTTGGGCCCCTGCACCTGCATGGGAGACCTGGAAGAAGCTCCTGGCTCCTGATGGGCCCAACTCTGGTTGTTGCGGCCACTTGGGAAGTGAACCAGCGGAAGTCTCTCTCTGCCTCTGTAATTCTGCCTTTCAAATAAATAAATGAATCTTATAAACCACCCCCCCCCCAAAAAAAAGCATATCATGTAAACCCGGGTCTTGCAACATTCCTGTTACCATCAGACTCATTTTAAGAGAAGTAAACTGAAGCTCAGATTAAAAGGTCTATCTTGTCTTTTACAGAAGTACAATTTCACATTATTTTTCTAAACTAGAAAACAACTGTTATTTCTCTGAAATTAAATGCTCACTCACTGAAAGCATGGCGATGATCAGCCTGCAAATGTGCAATTCTCTCTCTAGAAAAGAGGCAGGGAGTAGAAGAATCTGCTCTAGAGCAATTAAAACCAAGAAAAACTATTACTTTGGCTGAGAGGGAAGCAATTACATTAAGTAATTTTTCAGATCGTGTTAACCTAAGCTTAAAGCTTACCTAATGCAAAGTTGTATTCCTGGGTTAAAGTTCCTATGCCATGGCCTCCAAAAAGCAGGACGAATGAGTTAGGAAGAGGTACTCATTTCTCAGCTTTGCTTCTGATGAAGATCACACTGACTTCTGGAAGGAAAAAAAATCCCGTTGGGAATGTCAGAGATGCTGGCACTATTCACTATGAACATGGCCTCGCTAACAGACATGACCCTCGCTGACACGACCCTCGCTTACAGACACGGGCCTCGCTAACAGACACGACCCTCACTAACAGACACAACCCTCACTAACAGACACGACCCTCGCTAACAGACACGACCCTCGCTAACAGACACCACACTCGTGTGTGAGCAGCACAGAGGAAAACAACCAAGACTGCTGTGCTTGGTGACATGAACTTTCATTTTTGCAACTCCTTAGCTTTTGCCTTCGCATTCATTTAAATACACTTTTTTTTTTTTTTTTTTTTTTTTAGTAATTTTAGATCTACAGAAAAGTTGCAACGATAGTGCAGTTCCCTTGTGCTCCTCACTCAACTTCCCTGAACATTCACGTGTCACTAATGGGGCACCTTCGTTAGAACTAGGGAAGCAAGGGGGTCAGTGTGCACACAAATTCTCAGAATGAAATAGCCTTTGAAAAGTGCTTGTGGTCACAGCTTTTTTCCCAATTGGAACACCTTACACAAAAAACTTTATAAAACCTACTTCAGGAGTTTTAGAAAACAAGCCACCTACTTTATGAAGTCTGATCACAACCGCCTTTGATTGTAAGCCGCAGCGGAACGTTTGATTTAAAACTTCCAGGAGAACCCAGGGAAAAGGTCTGCTCAGGCACTCAGCGCCCTCCCCCGGCAGTCAGCTTTCCCCTTACATTTCAGCAGAGCCAAGAAGTTCTCGGCTGCGCCCCATGTGCAGGACGCGGGATAAGAAGCCCAAAACAAGGCCCCGGGAGGCCGCAGGTAAGGACTCAAATAACTGGGTCCTGCACCCACGTGGGAGACCCACACTGAATCCCCTGCTCCTGGTCTCAGGAGGCCCTGGCCCAGCCCCAGCTACTGTGGGAATTTGAGTGAACCAGGGGATGGGTGCCCTCGCTCTCTCTCAAAAATAAAAAAATAAAAGAAAATAAGATAGAACATACTGAACTGACATAAAGACATACACTTTAAAATTTCTGAAATCAGGACGCACTTGCCGAATAGCAGTGTTAATAGTTGTCACCGCCTGGCTGGCGCTGCGGCTCACTAGGCTAATCCTCCACCTGCGGCGCTGGCACTCCGGGTTCTAGTCCCGGTTGAGGTGCTGGATTCTGTCCCGGTTGCCCCTCTTCCAGGCCAGCTCTCTGCTGTGGCCCAGGAAGGCAGTGGAGGATGGCCCAAGTGCTTGGGCCCTGCACCCCATGGGAGACCAGGAGAAGCGCTGGCCGCAGCGGCCACTTGGGAGGTGAACCAACAGAAGGAAGACCTTTCTCTCTGTCTCTCTCTCACTGTCTAACTCTGCCTGTCAAAAAAAAAGAGTTGTCACCGCCTGACAAGGAAAAAGCACTCCTGTGAGAGTCGCGAATGTTTTCAGTGGCACAAAGGAAGAAGCTGTGTGGAAGAACCATGACACACTCGGAACTGAAAGTGCTCCGAAGAGGAGCACCCGGAATGTGGGAAAGCTTAAGGAACACTTCAGCCATTTATTTTTTACCCCTTTCACATGTGAGTTGATTTGCAATATGCATTGATTTTTGAATGCCCATGTACACCTAAAAGTGTTTTCGATAAGAATGGAAGTCCAAACGACAAGAAAGCATTATGCCCCAGCTTAACTGGCGGTGTCCCTCCTGGTGACACGGAACTCTACACAGCACTGACACTCACAGCAAGAGCGCCTGACCAGCTATCCTGGGGCAAGCGACAGCCAGAAAGACTCCAAACAGAGACAAAGCAGCTCCCCCTCCGACCCTGTGCGCCGTACCAGGAGGGCTGTCTGTCTAACCTTGTCTTCATGTGAAAGTAAAATCGTTCTCGGATTTCCTGCTTAGGAAGCAGATTCCTCCCTGGTCCCACGGCAGGTGGAGTGGGAGAGCCGGGGCAGGAATCTGCTGTGTAAGTAGGAAACTCGAGCACAATTTAACCAAATTAACTCAACCACACTCCTCTCCCGAGGCCCTCGGCTGTACCCCCGGCTGTGGAGAGCACCGAGAGAGAGAGAGAGAGAGAGAGAGAGAGAGAAGAGGAGAGGAGAGGAGAGGAGAGGAGAGGAGAGGAGAGAGAGAGAGAGAGAGAGAGAGACGCTCCCCCGACAGCTACGGGACAGGTTCCCTTCAAGTCCCACTTGAGCACCACACGCGGCTTCACCCTCCCGAAACGTCCAATTCCGGGGCGCCTCCGCCACCGCCACCCACTTCCAGAACTTTGCCATCACCACAAAAACCCTGTGCGCACTCAGCGCAGGCTCCTCCCCCGAGGCTCCGGGACCCTCCAGGCACTCCACGCCGGGGTCTCCACCCGCGCCGGCCCGCGCGCGTCCGGCTGGCATCTCATCCCCTGTGCGGCGGCGAAGGGCCCCGTATCGCGGGGGGTCTCGAGCACCCCGACACCCGCAGCTCCGCCGGGGAGCCCCCCAGGAGAAGACTCCGCCTGGAGACGGGCCTGGGTCAGCGGGCAAGAGCCGTGCAGCCCTGAAAACGCACAGGCCAGAAGAGGCAAGGGTCCCCCGGGCTGCTCCGGCCCCGGCGACACCTGTCAGATCTCAGACCAGCCGGCGGCCGAGTCACCGAGAGTGTCACCCGCGCGGGGCGCCCCACGGGGTCATGAGTCACCTTCTGTGGCTCAGAGGTCCGGGCAGGCCCGCCCCGCCCTGCCCAGACAGTCCCGGCTGGGAGGGACAGACACAGAATCGGCCGAGAGATAGAAGCGGACAGCTACAAAAGTCCTGCCGGATCAGAGACACAGAGGCAAAGGGGAGGCCACAAGTAAACTCGGGGTCTCGGGCAGAAAGAGCAAACTGACGGAAGCCGCGGCGCGACGCAGGTGACAACAGGTGACACAGACAGCCACCGAGGTGCGGCACCGAGGGGAGGAGGACACCGGCCGAGACCAGCCGAGACCGGCCGCATCCTGCTTCCCGGTCTCGGCTCTGCGGGCCCGGGGCGCGCCGGTGGCGCCAAGCCGCGCCCACCCCGCGCCCCGAAAAGCCGGCGGACGGACGGGGGCGGGATCTCCAAGCGCTCCGGCCCGCCGAGCCCCGCTGCCGCGGGGTGACCTTGGACCGGAGCTGCTCCGTAGCCTCCGGTTTCGGGTTCGTGCGCCGAAGGGTTGTAAATCCTAAGGGTCGGACCCATAGTGGTTTGCTGGGACCTGTTTGTTGGCTTTCTTTTTGGGGTCTTAAAAGGACCTGTAGTTATCGCAGATTGATCCTCCTATTTCAATTATAACTATTCTGATTCATTGTTTGTATATATTTGGGTTGTATTGGTCAGGGTGGGAGCTTGAATACCCCAAAT